ATTGTGGGGCTGGTGCGGGATCGGGCAGTGTTTCGTTCTGCTGTGCATGGGGTCGCTATGAGTCGGAAACGACTCGACGGCACTTAACAACTAACAATAGTGGGCCAATGATGCTTGATCTTTAGGGACTGCCTTTTCCCTGAGGGGGAGGCATTCACTGTGTCTGGCTCTTGCTCATGTGTTTCCCAGCGCCTGGCACATTTTGGTGTCTGGGATTATCAGGAGATCCTGTTTCTAAGGAGGTTGGGACAGAGCCCAGGATGCTGGGTGCCATCAGGGAATGTAAGTTATTACCGTATTAGTGGGGTACTGAGATGCAGTCTGATGACTCCCCTGAGATCACAGCCACATCCACAGCAGAGGTGGTGGCAACACAGATCAGTTGGATTTGGTGGCACCGTCAGGGATTGAGTAGGACCCTGTCCAGGTCCTGGGGAGAATATTCTGTCCTGGGCTAGGGGGCAGCAGTGTACTGAGGCAGGGTCTCTGAGCACCGGGTGCCCATGGCTGCCCCCGACAAGGCTGGAGGGCTGGTGGCATTGAGGCTGCAGCCTGGCACTGTTCCGAACTGAGTGGAGTTTGTTTGGCCAACCGCTCAGTGGCTCATGGCTGGGGCCTGGGTGCCTAGAGGCTCTTGGCTGCCCTCTGCTGGACTCTGCTGACCTCAGTCTGGGTGTGCAAGCGATACCAAAGAAGCCTAATTAAGAAGAGAAATGCCTTGTGAACAAATGTAGTCATGTCATTCTCACACGCTTCCCTGGGTCCTCCAGCTCTCACCCAGACCTTCTGGCAGGACACAGTGCCCTGCCACCACCCTCCAGGGTCTACAGTTGGTCCTGCTTCCCTTCCCTGAAGCCCTATCAGACTCATCTCTGCTCTCTGAAAATGATGAGTGTCTAGGGTTTTTGTTTCATTTTTTTCTGTACCCGAAACCTTCGCTCATGCTGTCTCTCCTACCTGGAGTGTCCTTCTCACCCCGATGAGCTCACACTAACCTTCTAAGCCTCTAGGCTTCCACAGTGCCCTCAACCCCACCCAGTGCCCCCTTCTGTCCAACCTTTAGCACCTGGGGTTGTGCATCTTTCTGGGGACTTTCTCTCCTCCCTGGGACTGTGAGCTCAAGGGGGGACGAACGACATCCGATTCCTCCTTGTGTTCATCTCCTGGGAACGAGCCCAGAGCAGCGGTGAGAGGGCTTGAGGGATGTTGTGGAGGCATTCACTCATTCTGCTTATTTATTGAATCCTATAGCATCCAGGGCATGCCAAATGATGACTTGCCCTGCCTAGATCCTGTATAGTCAAGTCTCTTATCAGGAAGTAGACTTACTTAGAACAGAGCCCAAATCTTACTCTTTTTTTTGTTTTGTTTTTTGCATTCACCAAAGCAGAAAGTTGGTCACACAGGAAAGACACAAACTTTTCCAATAGTAGATTCTCATGGAGGCAGGTGGATAAGGCTTTGTTTACCTCATTTCACACAAAAGACCCAGAACAGTACTGAAAGGGAATTCAACCTTTGAGGAACATTTGTTGAACGCATAGTTGTGACCAACATTAGTTCCAGGCACCTGGAAGGCCATTTGTGCATTTGTACCTAGAATTGTGCCTGACAAGTGATGGGTGCTTGATAGGTATTTTTTGAATAAGTAAATTCAATCTGCAGTCGTGGAAGCCGTCATGTACTTGCTATATAAATTGTGCAAGTCACTTCACCTTAAATTTCCATCAGTAAAATTGGTTGAATTACATACTTAGCTCTTTGGGTTGCTGACAAAATGAAATAACTCTTCCAATAATAATAGCTAACTTATTGAACTGATGCTATGTGCTAGGATAGATGTGTTACATGTCCGATCTTCAATGCTCACAGCAGCCCATTTAAAAAATTGAGAGAAAAGTTACCACTTCAACCATTTGAAAGTGTACAATTCAGTGGTTTTTAGTATATTCAAAATGTTGTGCAAACATCACCACTAATTACGGAACATTCTCATCACTCCAAAAAGAAACTCTGTACCCATTAAATAGCCACTCCCTATTTCACCCTTCTCCTAGCCCCCAGAAGCCACTAATCTACTATCCCTAAGAATTTGCCTATTCAGGACATTTCATGTAAATGGAATCATGTAATATGTGGCCTTTTGTGTCTAACGTCTTTCACCTGGCTATGAGTCGGAAACGACTCAATGGCACTTAACAACAACAACAACGTTTTCAAAGTTCATCTATGTGGTGCCATGTATCAGTACCTTATTCTTTTTTTGTGGCTGAATGATATCCCACTTATACGACACTTTATTGGTTCATAAGGAGCTCTGGTGGTGTAGTGGATAAGGCACTTGACTGCTAACTGGAAGATCAGCAGTTCAAACCTGCCAGCTGCTCCACAGAAGGACAACAAAGTGATCTACTTCTGTAAAGATTTACAGCCTTGGAAACCCAATTGGGGGTCACTATGAATCAGAAATGACTTGATTGCAATGAGTTTTTGGTTTGGTTTTATTGATTCATGAATTAATGAACATTTAGGTTGTTTTCACTGTTTGGAGATGATGAATTATGCTACTGTGGACATTTGTGTACGAGTTTTTGTGTGAACTTGTGCTTTCAATTTTTTGGGGTATATGTCTAGGAATGGAATTGCTGGGTCATATGTTAACTCTAAGGTGCTCTGGTGGCACAGTGGTTAAGCATTAGGATATTAACCAAAGAGTCGGTGGATCGAACCCACTAGCAGCTCTGTGGGAGAAAGATGTAGCAGTTGGCTTCCGTAAAGATTTAAAGCTTTGTAAACTCTATGGGGCAGTCCTACTCTGTCCTGTAGGGTCACTATGAGTCAGAAACAACTCTACAGCAAAGGGTTTGGTTTTTCCAGTTAGCATGTTTTGTTGTTGTTAGGTGCCATTGATCACCTCAAACCCCATGTACAACAGAATGAAACAACACCTGGCCCTGCACCATCCTCACAATTCTTGATAGACTTGACCCTATCAATGCAGCCACTGTGTCAATCCATCTCTTTTTTAATTTTTATTGTGATTTGGGTGCAAGTTTACAGAGCAAATTAATTTTCCATACAGCAATTCACACACATTGTGCCCAATCCATCTTGTTGAGAGTCTTCCCCTTTTTTGCTGACCCTCTAGTTTACCAACCACGATCTCCTTCTCGAGGGAACTGTCCTTTCTGACAACATGACCAAAGTACATGAGATGAAGTCTGGCCAGTCTCACTTTCAAGGGTCATTCCGGCTGCACTTCTTCCAGGACAGATTTGTGATTTGTTCGTTCTTCTGGCAGTCCATGATATTTTTAATATTCTTTGCCAACACCACAATTCAAAGGCATCAACTCTTCTTGTCTTCCTTATTCATTGTCCAGCTTTCACATGCATATGAGGCTATTGAAAATACCATGCTTGGGTTGGGTGACATCTTTGCTTCTAACACTTTAAAGAAGTCTGTTGCATCAGATTTGCCCTGTGCAATACATCTGAATTCTTGCCTGCTGCTTCCATGGGTGTTGATTGTGGATCCAAGTAAAATGAAATCCCTGAATACTTCAATCTTTTCTCCATTTATCATGATGTTGCTTATCAGCCCAGTTGGGAGGATTTTTGTTTTATGTTGAGGTGTAATCCATACTGAAGACTGTAGTCTTTGGTCTTCATCAGTAAGTGCTTCAACTTTCACTTTCAGCAAGCAAGGTTGTGTCATTGGCCTATCACAGGTTGTTAAGTGTTAATGAGTCTTCCTCCAATCTGAGGCTGCATTCTTCTTCATACAGTCCAGCTAGTTAGTACATGTAAAGTGACATCCTGTTGTGTTTTTGATTTGTGATTCTTTTATACTTAATGATGTTCATCATATTTTCATGTGCTTATTGGCCATTTCACAGAAGTCTTTTGAAGTAGGTATCTCCATTTTACGGTGGAAGAAACATTCAGAGTAAGCTGATTCGCACAATGCAAGGAGTCATTGGGCTTGGGCCTCGTTGTGTCTGTCTCCAAAGCCCATGCCCTTCCCTTTCGCTGCCCGGCATAGATGAATTAACAGTAAAAATATAGGTCTGGTCTGGGCGGTTGGAGAACCTGGTCTCTGGTCTGGTCATTCACCTTGGCCAAGTCCTTCCTCCTCTCCGGGCCGGTCTCCTTCCCGCCACTGGGGGCGGTAGACGCCAAACATCTCCCGACTAGTCTAGGGATCGCCCTCCCGCGGAGTTTGCCCCGCCCTTTTAGCCCAGGTCGCCGGCGGCGCCGGAAATGACCGGCCCTTTTTCTTTGTCCCCGCCCTCGGCCCGGAAGTGCTTGTTCGGGAAGATGGCAGCTGTGTCGGTGTGTGAGCGACCGGTTGGAGGTTTCTCGTTTGATAATTGCCGCAGGTGTGCCTTGTGAGGGGCTGGGTACGGGGCAGGATTGAGACTGCGGTGCTTAGATCGGGACTCGGCCGAGGTTTAATCCGGAAGGTCTGACTGTGGGTTAGACTACGAGGCCTGCGGCCCCTCGGCTTGTGTGACTCAGGGCAATGAGGGCCTGAGCGCGGGTTTCTCCTGAAGCCGGGTCAGCCCTCCCACCTACTCAGCTCCCTTGGACATCATCTCCTTAGGCGAATCGCAGCCCTTTTCTGAGGAGCTTTTGTCTAAAAAGCGGAGACAGTACCCCTGATACTGGGAGGGCTCAGTGAACAGATGAGCGTGACAGCACAGTAGTTTTCCTTTTTCTGAGTTCCCTATGGCGCGCTCCCGGGCCAGTGCAGCGCAATGTGGTTCTGCCCTTCAGCATTTTGCTCTCTCATTTGCACTCAGGAATGCCGTCTTGGAAGCCGAGTTTGCAAAGAAAGGCTACAAGCTTCCCGCAGCCCGGAAAACTGGCACGACCATCGCGGGAGTGGTCTATAAGGTAAGCTTGAGCAGAAGTAACTGGATTGGACACAGGAACCAGACCGCTCAGTCTCCTTGCCCTCTCCTTGCTCGATCTGGAAGTGCTGATGTTACAGGGTACCCCAGGAAAAGGCCCTTGAGGAGCGAGTGCGTTTGTTTACAGTTCTCATTTTCTCTGTTTGCAGAGCTATTGACTGGAGGGTAATTTGCTTTTTTAAGCTACTGCTGTAGGAAGCAGGATGATACAAGGGAATATTTCGGGTTTGACATTTATCATTTCACTTCTGTGCTGCTTCCAGCCTTGGACAGGTCACTCCTCACAGTCATCTTCACCTCAACCAGCAAATGGAGGTGATGATTCCTGCCTTAAATTGTTGTAAGGGTCAAAAGAGATAATGATTACTGCTGTAATTATGTAAAGAATGACATATTTTAAAAAAGAAACTGACAGAGACAGCTCTTTGGACGGAAAGATTTCTGGATTTTCATCCAGACTTGCCCTAGCTTGTTGTTACTGTTCGGTGCTGTGGAGTTGATTGTGACTTACCGTGACCCTGTGTACAACAGAAGGCAACACTGCCTGGTCCGTGCCCTCCTTAAACCTGTTGCTGTGTTTGAGCCCATTGTTGCAGCCACTGTGTCAGTCTGTCTTGTTGAAGGAGCTTCCTCTTTTTTGTTCACCTTCTACTTTAACAAGAATGATGTCCTTCTTTAGGGACGTCCCTCCTTGATAACATGCCTAAGTACAGGAGATAAGTAAAATCCTCACTTCTAAGGAGGATTCTGGTTGTACTTCTTCCGAGACAGATTTGTTTATTCTTTTGGCAGTCCATGGTATATTCAGTATTCTTTGCCAATACCATGATTCAAAGACAACAATTCTTTGTTCTTCCTTATTCATTGTCCAGCTTTTGCGTGCACATGGGTCAATTGAAAATACCATGGCTTGGATCAGGTGCATAATTGTCCTTAAAGTGATGAAGCTTTGTTTTTTATAAGGCATTCACTGAATCTCTGAGGCTTATTTTTGAAATCTGAAAATGGGGTTGGCAATTCCTGCCACCTACTCAGGATTCAACTAATAAGGTTTATTCATGAGCCTTTTTTTGAACTTATAGTTCAGTATTTTCGGGACCTTTGGCTGGGGATAGGGGGTTGAGGAGTCTGTGGATAGCTAACGTTGTTTAAGTTAAACTAGTGAGCAGTCGTTTTTCTAAAATTGTTTCAAAACTTTTTTTTTGTGAATAGGATGGCATAGTTCTTGGAGCAGATACAAGGGCAACTGAAGGAATGGTTGTTGCTGACAAGAACTGTTCAAAAATACACTTCATATCTCCTAACATTTAGTAAGTATTGATTAGTTTAAATAGCTGTGTATTTTCAAATATTTTGTTGTTGGGTGCTGTCAGATTGATTCCAACTCATAGCAACTCTGTGTGACAGAGTTGACAGAGTAGAACTGCCCCAAAGTGTTTTCTTGACTGTAATCTTGATGAATATAGAAACCTACAAGGCCAAAATTGAATGTATTACCTTCCTTATTAAAACTTAATGCTCAACCTGTATTTTCTGTCTCTCTTGTTGGAATTTCCACCTACCCTGTCACCAAAGCTAGGCATCTTCAAGTCCTCTCTTTGCTTTACTCTCTAATGCGATTGATAGCCACTTTTGCCTTCCATGTGCCTCTTGAGTCATTCACTTATAACCTTTCTACTGGTACTGCAAAAAGAACAAGGAGGCCACATGTTCTGACCTCCTCTAATCCCACAAGAGGAAGACAGAGTCATCATCAATAACTCAAGGCCTGTTCCTGCCAGGCCGGACATGCTGCCTCCCTCCAGCCTTTTCTCCAACCGTTCCTCCCAAAGCACCCATCACTTCTCTCTTGGGTTCGCTTATGCACTGCATTGGCCACACAGAGCTCACAGATTATGGGGTTTATTAGGGAAGCACCACAGGCTACAATTCGAGTTCAGGAAAAATGCTCAGTCTCTCTCCCAGCCCACTGTCCCTCAGCCAACAGTCTCTCGCAGTCTCTTTCCCAGCAGTGTTGGTCCCTTGGTGTCTCGCTCAGCAATGCGTGTCTCTTGTGTCTCTTTCCCAGCAGCACGTGTCTCTTTCAGGGGCAGGTGTCTCTTTCAGCAGCACGTCTTCCTCAACCTAGTTCTGCCTCTAGGAGGCCTCCTTTTGAGCCCGACAGGGTGGTCAAACTAGCCAATCATAGCATCAGAACTCTAAGCACTTGAGAGAGAGTGGGCACCTCCCAGAACATTGTTTTATGCCACTCCCAAAAGAAATCCTCCAGGTGAACAACTTCAGCAATCAGGAGCTCCTCAGTTGCTCATAGAAAATCCCACCTTGGAGTTTACAAAGACTTATGGGTAGAAAAGCCACACTAAGTAATTTACTACACCGCAGGTACAGTCTTGATTCACATTCCACCTCCCACCCCCCAATTGATCTATTACAGTTGTCATTAGGTTGCCTCTCTGTCTTGGTCTCTTCTTTTTATTTTTATTCCCCTGCCATGTTAATGTTTGTAAAATACAGATCTCATTATGTCCCTTATGTGTTCAAAAACTTGAAGAGACTTCATGTTTCCACCTTGTTTTCAGAATAAAATCAAAACTCGGCAGCATATTTCACGTCTAATATGGTCTACCAGCAGCTCATCTTGGTACTACTTTTCACCTGTCATCACTCCAGGCTATAGTTTCACTGGACTGAAGGATATCCTTCGTGTATAGTACATTCTTCAAGCATTTGCTACCTTTGCTTGTGCCAGCCCTACTGCTTAGAAGTGCTCTTTCTATTGAACCCACTCCTGTGGCTTTCGGGGAAACAAAAGACAGGCAGATGAGCTGAACATTTACATTAGGTGATACACGCCTTAGGAGTTCTGGTGGTGTAGTGCCTAAGGCACGTGACTGCTAACCAGAAGGCTGGCGGTTCAAACCCATCAGCCACTCCTCGGAAGGAAGGTTGGGCAATCTACTTCCTCAGTGATGCTGCTTCGGAAACCCGTGGAGGGGTCGCTGTGAGTTGGTTTCGACTCAACGGCAGTGAGTAGATACACTCCTTGGAGAGATCAGTCATGGGAGAATAGAAGGGCTGTATATGCACAGAGACAGCTCGGGGGGCAGGGGAGTGCATGGGAGGGAAGGACACAGGGAGAAATGGCTATGGGGAGGAAGTGGGAGGAGAGCTGTTGCATTGTGGGAGATTGCAGTCCAGTCAGAGTCATGAGACAAAGTGTATGTGAGCTACTGTATGGAAGATTAATTTGCTCTGTAAACTTTCACCTAAATCACAATGAAAGAAAAAAAAAAGAAGAATAAGTGCTCTTTCCATCTTCTCTGCTTGTAGAGCATTTTTATTCATCCAAATCCAGCTTATGGGAAACCTCTCGAAGATCAGAATTCATTGCTCTCATAGTAGTTTTGTCCCAATGGTACTATATTATATGGGGTATTAGAATTTTTTGTCTCCATGTGTCTTCCACTCATCTATGAATTCATGTACCAGGATATGTTATATATATATTTTTTATTTCTGGCACTTAATAAAATCACTGGTACATGGCAGATACTTGATAAATGTTGAGTTGCAAGATTTTTCATTTGTCGATATATTTGATATCTTTGCATAAATGCATATGAAGTGTCCTCATACTTTTTCACAATTATGTATTCCTCCATAGTAAGGATATGTGTTGTTGTTAGGTGCTGTCAAGTCAATTTTAACTCATAGTGACCCCATGTGACAGAGTGGACCTGCTCCATAGGGTTTTCAGTCTGTAATCTTTATGGGAACAGATGTCCAGATCTCCCGTGGAGTTGCTGGTTCTACCCACCACCTTTTAGTTTGCAGCTGAGTGCTTAACCATTACACCTGAGGCCTTCTTGAATTCCAAGATTTTGAAGAAAGCTGTTCTTTTATAAAAGTTGGATATATTTGTAGGGTTAATAAAATGCATTTTCTGTTAGGAGCATGGAAGCAAATGATTTGAAGTATTCCGTTGAGTCACAGAGAATGCGCTTGCACATAACTGGATGAGTATTTTCAGTTTTAATGTTTTGTTACAAGATTGGTTAGACATAACAGTTAACCCATTGCCACTGAGTCAGTTTCAACTCATAGTGACCCTGTGTAGTCCCTGTGTAGGACTCAAAACATCTCTACACATGAACTCTGTGGAAGTTATCTAAGAAGCTTCACTTCTGATTGTGTCTTATGGTAACTGAAGGAGCTTTAGTGGTGCAGTAGTTAAAATATTTGGCTGTCTGGAATTGAACCCATACCTGTGGCTTCCAGCCAAACAAAAGACAGGCATATGAGTTGAACATGTACATGAGGTAGATACAGTCCTTGGAGAGAACAATCATGGGAGAAAGAAGGGCTGTTTATGCACAGGGAGATAGTGCAGGGGGCAGGAGTGCATGGAGGGATGGACACAGGGAAGAGGTAACTATCGTAAGAAAGTGGGAGGGGAGCTGTTGCATTGGGGTAAATTATGGTCAATGTCATGAGACAACGTGTGTGTGAACGGCTGTATGGAAAGTGAATTTGCTCTGTAAATTTTCACTCAAATCACAACTTAAATAAAAAAAGAAACAGCCAAAAAAAAAAATTTGGCTGCTAACCAAACAAAAGTCAGTGGTTCAAACCCATCAGCCTCTCCATGGAAGAAAGATGAAGGAGTCTGCTTCCGTATGATTACAGCCTTGCAAACCTTATGGGGCAGTTCTCCTTTGTCCTATAGGGTCGCTGTGAGTCAGAATTGACTTGATGGAGTTGGGTTTGGTGTTTTGGTATGGTGATTGACTTTCAGCTAAATTTCTAATCATGTGTTTTAGTTGTTGTGGTGCCGGCACAGCTGCAGACACAGACATGACTACCCAGCTCATTTCTTCCAACTTGGAACTCCACTCCCTCTCCACTGGCCGCCTTCCCAGAGTTGTGACAGCCAATCGGATGCTGAAGCAGATGCTTTTCAGGTAAGGGTCCAGCATGGGGGTTTCTATATTATCTTTTTCTCACGTCTTAGTAGATTTTCAGCAAAGGGAAGCCTAGAAGGTAGAGCAGAAGTGTTCAGAAATAGGCATTTGTTTCAGGAATTAATTTTTATTGAAAAAAAATCTAATTTCATAAGGCTTTTAATAGTGCATTTGAATTTATGCAGTCAGATTTTTGTCACGGATAAATTGCATGTGACCCATTAAGTCATTTCATGAGACATAGTGATATGGGTGTAAGGAACTTTTTTGCTCATAGTTAGAAAAGCTGGAAGGAACCTGTGAGGTCATCTTGTGAAACCCTGTGTGTGCCTTCCCCGTCACATGCCCACATACATATGAACACAAATACTTTTTTTCCCCTTCTTTTCTAGGGGCAAAGTAACAATGAAAAGAAGTTTGATATTTGTTACTGGCAGTGAGTGGGCATAATAATACTAGCCAACATTTTTCTGTCTCACTCTGTGACAGGCCCTGCTTTACATATGATCTTACTTCATTCTCTTAACTCTGAGAGAGGGGCTGTTATCATCCTCTGTTTATAAATTAACGAATTGAGTTTAAAAAGGTAAAATAATTGTCTGACTTGATCTTCACTCTTGGCTGGCTTCCACAGACAGTCCATACTAGTAGTTTTGTTTCTCTTTCTCCTTTAATAATCACAGCATCACTTTATCTTTATATAGTTCTAGGCTTTCAAATTTAAGTCCATTTTCTTATTTGTTCCTCCTAAGATGCAGTGTATTACAATGGAAATAGCCTGGACGTTGAGTCCTGAATTTGAATCCTGGCTTTCTCTTTTGGGACTTGTATTATTTTTAACAAATTCTTGCCTCTTTCCCTTATCTGTAGAATGAATGTTGTAAGAATTAAAGGCAGCATGAATAGAAAGCAAAGGTGAGAAACTGGCAGCTCACAGGCCACTTTGTAGCCTGGAGAGAAATTTTACTTGGGTCACATGTTACTTAAAAAAAAAAAAAAAAAAATAGTGGCCAATAACTATCAGTTGGGAGATTTTAATGAGAAAGTCTGCATTTCCAGCTTCTTTTTTTTTAAAATTGTGATTTGGGTGAAAGTTTACAGAGCAAGTTCACTTTCCATACAGCAGCTCGCATATACTTTGTCTCATGACATTGACTACAGTTTCCCACAATGCATTTCCAGCTGCTTTTGTGAAATTCAGAAAGAAGGTGGGATAATGCATCGTAGTGGTCTTTTGGAGGAGAGTGTGTCTGTTGCTTTTAGAGGGTGTCTGTGGGCTGCAGACCCTGCCTGGCTCACTTCACTTTCCTTCCTGCCTGGCCTTTGCCTTTCTTTGAATTTGCAGCTTCTCAGGTACATGTCTAGCATAGCTCCCAGTCATATAGTTCCCATTTTACAGATGAGGCGATCAAGATGAAGAGTCACGTGAACAGGAAGCCTAGTCCTGTCTACGTAATTCCTGCTCTGGCTATAACCAAACCTAACCAACTGCCATCGAGTCATTTCCAACCCATACCAGCCCTATACTGAGCTCTTATATCAGTGATTTCTGTTTATTAGTGTGCATAATTATCATTCTGAATTACTGGTTGTCAAATAAATTCTAGTACAATGTGAGTAGAACTTGTTAAAAGCATATCTATTAAGATATGCTGAAGATACTTGTGTATTTTGACTTAAATCCAAAGCTCCCTCTGGTGGCACATGTGGTGCATTGCATTTAAAATCATTTTTAAACTTGTAAAATTGTTCGAAATAGAGTATTTCAAGATTCCTCACAGTGCTATTTAAAGCATTTAACTAAATAATGTAGCACGTTTCTGTGAATCTCTTTAGAATGTTTTAGAAATTCTAAATTGTTTTTTTTCAACGTTTTATCATTTTTAGTTTAATATACTTGTAAAGGTTAGATTGAGTTAGTTTTGAAAGGAAATTTAAAAAATTAAATGAACAGATTTATCGTCCTTTATGTCTTCTGACATTTTGGATGAGTTACATAAAATGAGAGTGGTGTTTTTTTTTTTTTTTTTAAAAAAAAAACCAGCATAGGGTTTAACTTGAACTTTGATTCAAGTCCCATCTTATACCACCTAGAGCTCAGTAACCTTGGGCAATTCACCTTACCTTTCTTAGGGTCAGTTTTTTCCTGCAATAAAATGAGGATAGTTTCTTTCTTTCTGACTTTGAGGAGTAAATGAATACAGAAGGAAGATTTATGAAAATGCCAAGGACAGGGCCTGATGAAAAGGGCTTTTGTGTTAGAATGTGCATGGTCCTGTCAATTCCAGCTCATAGTGACCCCGTTGACAAAGTAGAGTTAATCTCTACGGAAGCAGATCCCCAGGTCTCCTGTGGACCCACTGGTGGATTTGAACTGCCAGTCTTTAAGTTAGCCAACTGCTTAACCATTGTGCTACCAGGACTCCTTATGATGGACAGTCTTAACACCAGACTCACTGCCACCGACTCAATTCCAACTCACAGTGACCCACGTTGGGTTTCTGAGGCTGTAAATCTTTACGGAAGTAGATTGGTACATCTTCATTCCACGGAACAGCTGGTGGGTTTAAATCACTGACCTTCTGGTTAGCAGCCAGATGCTATCAGCAGTGCTGAAAAAGAGTTCAGAATGTACTCTTCTTGCTATTAATGAACATTTGTTTCCCCCTGAATAGCCATTTCCTCATATGTGAGTCAGTGAGAAAGAGAGTTTGATAAAACAGAAGTGGGCATTTTCCCCTTACTTGAGCAATACCTTTATGCCTTTTACATGTAGGATGGCAAGATGTTGAAGATGTAAGGTGATACTTGATTCTTTTCAGCACGGAATCTCCTTGTTGAGTGTAACAGAAATATGCTTTCTTTGTGCGGTATTCCTTATTTGGAAAATTCTCATTGGAATCCGTAGAGGCCCTCTTATTTATTTTATTATATTAATTGTAGTAATACCCATTCATTGTAGCAAATTTGGAAAATACTGAAAAGCCCAAAGGAAAAAAATAGAATTTTGATGTTCAAAGAGAATCTATCTATTTTGTTTTGGTGATATACTTATTCTTTTTTACCTTTTAAGTTTTTTTTCTTTTGTCAAATATTTGTATATGTTCGTGGTAAAAAGTTAGAAGATACAGAGAAGTAAAAAGAAAAAATATAAAAGCTATCCATGTTGTGTATTAATAATGTATGTGTACTAATGCATTGTATGTGCACTAACTGCTGGCAGATGAGCGTGCCTATTCTGTATTAGTAATACATACTAATGCACACGCTACTGTGGTCCAGGAATTTGCATTTTCAAAGTCCCTGGCAATGCCAGCAAGTATTCAGGGTTGAGAACGGTGCCTCATACAGAACTTTAGCAATGCTGCTTCATTAGTATTAGTATATTACTACTGCCTCAGTGGACAGTGTATTAGTGTACACACATTTTTTTTTCATGTTTACTAGTATACATTTTGTTTTATAAAACTGGGATCATAGTTGTATGCTGTCCTACAGCCTAAAATTTTCACCTAACACTACATCTTGAATAGTTTTCCATGTTGGAACATTTCAAACTGAAAATACTCCCCCCCTTTTTTTTAAGTAATTTATGATCATTATTAAAAACTCAGCTACTTAAAAAAATGTGAAAAGAAGGTAAATACTGCCTGATGTTCTGCTTAAACACAGGCATTTTACAGCTTTTGAGATCTAGTCTTTCTGACCTTCTCTACATATAGACTCATATTTATGCATTTAGAAAGATGGAATCCTACTATAAGTGCTATTTTGTAACTTACCCTATTCATTTTTCTTTTTGAAGAGCTAAAGGCTCACAGCGGTGAATTTTAAATCCAGCATGTCTGTCTAGCAAAGCAATTCTAATGGTAAAATATTGAACCAAATACAGGGAAAAGAATCTGTAGAAATGGAAAGCCAACAAGGTAATAGGCTCCAAGGAACAAATAACAGGCACAAGTAAATGGGAATGTTCCCGTGTCAGATGTATTCTATCTATATCCCTGAAGAGTTGTGTGGGTGGTAGCTGTGCATTTATAGGCTATCATGGAGTAATGGCCTCATTCATATCCTTCAGTGATGAAATACTTCTTTTTTTTTACTCCATGTGACCTCCTGTCTGTAGTTTTAATTTTGAGGATTTATTCAAAGGAAAAGGTGTTTTGACATGAGCCATTTTCCTACAAAGCTCTGGTGATGTTGCTAACTTGAACAGTTTGAGTATAGCGACTCCTCATTGTTAATCTTGAAGGTAGCTTCTCTGTTGATCACAAAAGGGTGCTGATGATCTTTGGAGTGAGCCAAACTTGGCTCTGAACCCTGGCTCTGAGACATTGTGTAAGTACTTAGATGTTTTTGGGCCTTGGTTTTCTCATCTGTAACATGAGGATTATAGTACCCTCTTTTAAAGGTGATTGTGAAAGATTAGGTGAAATAAGGTATGTGGAGTACCTCACACAGTTTACAGTTTATATCGGCTGATGGTAGATGTCCAACTAATGCTATTTTTATTGCTAATTGTTCTCATCGAAACAGTAACCTCTGAATGAAACAGTTTCAGTATAGGAAGCTTTTTGTCTGATTTTCATGCAGTTTTTGGTTAAGTTACAGTGACACAATGTAGACTCATTTTTTTTTTTCTCTCTTATGCATACTCTGATCACCAGGTATCAAGGTTACATTGGTGCAGCCCTAGTTTTAGGTGGAGTAGATGTTACTGGACCTCACCTCTACAGCATCTATCCTCATGGATCAACTGATAAATTGCCTTATGTCACCATGGGTGAGTGTAATGTTTCTCTAATGTTTCCCAATCTTCTTATGTACCAGGATAGTCTCTTAAAGAGGTGGACTAGTTCCTGTTAGAGGAGGCAGTGCAATACAGTGCTGAGTCATTCAACAAATACAGTACTTATTGAATGCCTACTATGTATTAGGCCCTGCTCTAGGAGCTTGGAATATACTAGTGAACAAAATAGAGGTAAAGATTCCTACCCACAAGGAGTTCATATTTTAGGGGGTAGGGAGACAATAAACAATTTTAAGTATATCGGGAGCTCTGTTGGTATAGTTGTTAAGGCATTTGGCTGCTAACCAGAAGGTTGGTTGTTCAAACCCACTAGCCGCTCTGTGGAAGAAAGATGCAGCAGTCTGCTTCTGTAAAAATTTACAGCCTTAGAAACCCTACAGGGGTCGCTATGAGTCAGAAACGACTTGATGGCAGTAAGTTTGGTTTTAAGCTATAATAAGTATCTGGGAAGAGAGGTCAGGCAGTCTGTTTCTGAAACTCAGCCAGTGAAAACCCTAAGGATCACACAGTCCAGTCCCCAGTTGACCACAGGGGTGGCAGCGTTTCATTTAGTTGCACGTGGGGTTGCCGTGAAATGGCAACTAACAACAGCATAATGTTTATAATATGTTAGAAAGTGGTAAATACTGGGCGAAAAAAAGTAATGGAATGATACCGTAAAAGATTTTGTAGTTATATGGTATTTTACTGTTGAGGGAATTGGGTGAAGGATAGATGGAAACTCTGTATTATTTCTTACATCTGCATGTGATTGTACAGTGATCTGAAAACAAAAAGTAAAAAAATTAATGCAGGGTAAGGGGACTTGGGAGTGGTGGGCGGAGGGTGGGGTGGGATACAGATTACAGCATTAAATAGGACAGTTAGGGTAGGTCTGTGAAAAAGGTGAGATTTAAGTAGGGGGTCTGCCAGCCAGAGGGAAGGTTAGAGTGGAAGCCTATGGCAGATATATACGAATAGGCTTGGTTTTTTCTTTTTAAGCTGAAGTGACTGAGGTCTCTCTTTTCCACTGGCTCTCTGAGGAACCATGGGTATCTTTTAACTCCTCTGTGATCACTGGCTGCCTCATCTGTGAAATGGTGTCAGTAATGTTTACCTTTCCAGTGTTGTGATACTTAGAAATAGTGTGTATGAAGCATCTGGTCTCATGCTTGGCCTATAAATGGGAGCTCCTCTTTGTAGACCAGCTTTTTACATTTGTGTTTTCACTCTAACTGCAAGATAAGAGGATTTCTTTTAATAACCCACCCACCCCCCAAAATGATAAAATCATGTTTAGAAGAATTGAGATTTTCAAATTCTAGCCTTTATGTTAAATTACTGGGTCCCATTGTGTAAGGTCCAGAAGTTTGAACAGGTCTTGTTTTTCCAGCTGTTGTTTGTAGCTTACATTTCTTGCCTTGGTATCTTGGCTCTGCAGAGCTAGGAGTACTGCTCCTTTGGATAGTTTGGAAATTGCCGGTTTGAGACTGTTATTCCACTGTGTTATCTAGCCTTTTATAAAATTTATACAATGTATGTTCCTGGTTTGTTGAGAATGATTTACCCCCCCTCCCCCAATACCATAAAGATAAATCTTGGCAGTTATTTTAAAATGAAAATACAGTAATTTTAGAATTGTTCTGAATTGCCTTTCTCAAGTATATTCATCTCTTCATCAAAGTATTGTTGTTATTTCTCTGCATATAATTCCTTTAAAATGGTGGTAAAAGTGGAATAACCTTTTCCGTTAAGTAATTTTATTTAGTTTTACTTGAAAACCCAAACTTACAGAAAAGTTACGGTATTGTAAAATGTGTGATCATAAACCCTTTGTGCAGATTTGTCAACTGATACTTTACTACATCTCATACAGTTTTATTTCTTTCATTTTTTAAACAGGAAAATTGGATTGTTTTCTCTTGCTTTAGAACTATAATAATTTGTCTTCTGAGCTTAATGCTGGATTTAGAAGTTATTGAAAGTGAATAGACAAACAGATTTGTGTCTGCACATTTCACTCTGCAACCACTTTGTACTTTGTCCTGACCAATGGTGATCTTGCATCTTGTCAGTCCTAATTTAAGTCCAAGGTGATGGTTCCACAGTCCTGTGAGCTTATAGGACATAACCTGTGTAGAAACTTTATTCCACACAATCTGGTTTTGCTATCACTACAAGGTCAGCCTTTAGTAAAACAGTATCTGAATTTTAATACTGCTGTTCTGAGGTACCATCAAGTCGGTTCTGACTCATAGCAGCCTTGTGTACAACAGAACAAAACACTGCCTGGTCCTGTGCCATCCCCACAATTGTTGTTATGTTTGAGCCCATTGTTCAGCCCACTGTGTCCGTCCATCTCGATGATGCGGAGGGCCTTCCTTTTTCGATGAACCTCTACTTTACCAAGCATGATATCCCTCTCTGGGGCTTGATCCCGCATGGTAACATGTTCAAAGTACATGAGATAGTCTCACCATCCTTGTTTCTAAGGAGCATTCTGGCTGTACTTCTTCATTCTTCTAGCAGTCCATGGTATATTCACTATTCTCCAACACCATAATTCAGATGCATTACTTCTTTTTGGTCTTCCTTATTCATTGTCCAGCTTCCATATGCCTATGAGGTTATTGAAAATACGTGGTTTGGGTTAGGCACATCTTAGTCCTCAAAGTGACATCTTTGCTTTTAACACCCAGAAGAGGTCTTTTGCAGCAGATTGGCCCAATGCAGTATGTCATTTGATTTCTTGGCTGTTACTTCCATAGGCATTGATTGTGGCGCCAAGTAAAATGAAATCCTTGACAACTTCATTCTTTTCTCTGTTTGTCATGATGTTGCTTATTGGTCTAATTGTGAGGATTTTTGTTTTCTTAATGTTGAGGTGTAGTCTGCACTGAAGGCTGTATCTTTGATCTGTTTTCCTCAGTAAGTGCTTCACGTCCTCTTCACTTTTAGTAAAGGTTGTGTGAGCTGCATATTACAGGTTGTTAATGAGTCTTCCTAATTTTAATACACGAGTAAATTATTATTTTGAGGTTATATTTATGAAATATTTATTGGATGCTTTAGCTATAGCATGTAGAGATAAATAGCAGGTAGAGATAAATATGACGGTCCTTGCCCTCAAGCTACGTGCAGTCTGATGGGGAAGACGGATAAACTAACAAGGGCAGTGGGAGCTGAAGGGAGTCCTAAAAGAAGAATAATACTTTCATTTATCAGCTATTTTTTTTTTAGCATCTACTGTGTATTAAGTGCTGCACTACAGTAATCAACAAAAGCATCTGCCCTGAAAGTTTACAGTGTCATGGCATAGGGTATGGAACAGGCATTAAACAAGTATATAAAAACTCAAAAACCAGACTCACTGCCATTGAGTCGATTCTGACTCATGGCGACCCCCATTGGGTTTTGAAGGCTGTAAATCTTTATGGAAGCAGACTGCTTCATCTTTCTTCTGCGGAGCAGCTGGTGGGTTTGAACTACCAGTGTATTATTAGCAGCCAAATGCTTTAACCACTACACCACCTGAGTTCCTTAAATAAATATATATACATATTAATATAAAAGAACACATTGTGATAAGCACCCTAGAAGAAAAGAACAGTAATAAGAGAGGAAGGGATATGTGGATAATGGGTATTTCAGAAGTCTTCACTGCACAAGTGACTTAAAAACATTTTCTAATGACAGTAATTTATGGGCCTCATAAAACATTCAAGTGGAACAAGTATTACAGGAAAAACGTGTCTCTAGTCCATATCCCTCCCCCAGAGTAACCACTGTTAAGTGTTTATTGTGTTTTCTTCCAGAAAATGTTTTATGAATACACATCCCTTCATATCTACCCATCCATCCGTCTGTCATCTTTCCCTTCCAAAAATACACAGAGATCATTTTATACATAATATTCTTCCATTACGATTTAACTTACTTTGCAGATGTCTTTGTATCAGCATATGTAGATCTGTATCATTTCTTAATAGCTGCACATTGCGTTATGTGGCTGTAACACGAGTTACTGACCCATTCCTATTGGCTGGGTATCTGGTTTTCAGAATTTTGTAACCAGTGTGTCTTGGTGGACTTGTGCAAGTATGTACCTGAGAAAAATTCCTAGTAGTGGCATATCTGTATTAGGTATATGCATGCGTCGATCATAATTTTCTGTTGCAAAAATGGAATCACTGCATGGTCTAAGGAAAGTAGAAGTTTTACAAATGATAGCAGCTGTCTCACAAAATAATTGAGAGGATGAGAAGTAGACTTAGGGTCACAAGCCAGGAACATTGTCAAAGATCATGCTGCAGAGTAGCCATTGCAGCTGAGTACATGGTGCTCCAGTCTGCATTGCTGGCACCCTGCTCACTCCACTGCCCTGGCTGCTTCCTCTTATGCCTTTCACTGCCCTGAGAGTCCCCTGTCGGGGAGAGTGGGTGCTGCTGACTGGTGAAGCTCAACCTGCCACTCATAAGGTGGCGAGTTCCCCAGATGTAGGAAGCAACTGCAGATGCCAGGCAGCCCAGAAGAGTGACAGATGGCCAGACGGTGCATTTCACCTTCTGAAGCTGTTGCCAAATTGCACTCCAAAAAGACTGTGCTTGTTTGCACTCCTACCAGCAGATTATGAGGATGCCTTTCTCTCACGGCCTCCCTTTGGATGTTTTTGTCAGTGTAATAGGGAAAAAGGGAAAGATGTAATACTTAAGCTGAGACCTGAATGGTAAGTAGGAATTCTCCAGGAATTTGCCCCCTACACGCTGCCCATACCCCACCCCTAAGGGAAAGTTTACTCCAGGCCCTGTAGTGTACAAAGGATCAGTGTGATCAAGGGACAGAAAGGCTGGCATTGGCTGGCTGGATGAGGCAAGTGCAGCGTTGTGTGCGGGGAGGCTGGTGGGGCAGAGTATTCCATGTAGAGGGCACAGCAGAGGCAAAGACATGGAGGGGTGACGAGGATTGGCGTGTTCTGAAGGGTGGACTGAGGCAGG